ACCAATATGCGGTCAATAGCTGATGGAAATATAAGCAGGTTCCGTATAGCCGCAGGGGGCACGGGGTGTCCATTGAGCACTAAGGTGGCTAAGATACTTGAAATGGTTGAAAGGAGGTGATTTGTCGGTGCAGAGGTCAACCACCCGCTTTGCATTTTTTTACCTATATTCCAAAAAAATATTGTGATAATTTCAATTTATTACCTTTAAACAAGAATTTATTTATTAAATACTAAAGAGGGATTATAGCATTTTAAATAGCTTGCAAAAAATTTTACACGTCCATAAAATGATGAATTATATTTACGCTTTACAAAAATAAATGTCAAAAGAATGCCAGCGAATAAAAGTAATTGCCGAGGTGGGTGGTAAAAAATTGGATCTTGAATAAATATATATTACACTCTCCCGCAATCTCTCTTTATAACTTAGTGAAGACTAAGGCGAATAAAAATAGCTCATTTCAAAATTCATGGTGAACTAATTCTTCATCTCTCTCTCCCAATGCCATCTATGTCTTTGTGGTCACGAAGTATAGTCAAATAAGTACATAAGTATATGCTTAATTTTAGCTATCTAACTGACCATTAACTGCACCGTCACAATTTTATTCTCAGCTGACAGCTACCTTCTGCCTCTGCCAATTTGACAGCAGATCAACACCTTTTCCGAAGCGTTTGCCATACATCTTCTTTGTCGTCCTCCCGCTGGGCTATCCTCTTTTTCAGTGTCAACACATTTGTTGACAAATTACATAGCGTAAGTTGACTGACCTATGACAGTGTGACGCCGCCAATTCGGCTGTCTCTAGATGTCATACTTGCTTGCATACATTTCTACAATGAATTTAGTGACACCGTATTTGACAATATTTTCGCTATCATTGTTATTTTTGCTATTGTTGTGACTATTACTGTTGCTGTCAAAATGTTTGAGAAGCTCTGGTTGACGGCGTGTAGTAGGTAGCCATTTGTGAATGCGGAGATACCTCACTTATTTCGTCTGAAAGCCCTGAACTTTGTGTGACACTTCTCGGTTATTCGGTCACTCCGTATGATACTGCTCTTCAAATTGTGGTGAGAAACTTTGGAATTATGGTCATATATAATATATACTTGTATGTTAGCTATTACTTTGTGTAATTAGTCCACAGTATTAACAGAAGAGATCCACTGAGAACTTTGCCATACATACTATTCCGAGGTAGAATTTAAACCTTTATAACTCTTTTGACTGATAACCTTAAAGCGTGACACACTTTTAGTTCAATTTGTGTTTAAGTAAAGGTCTCTATTTCGAAGCAATATCTTCAGTATTGTTTAATATACAGTCAAACCTGGTTAAGAGAGAGTTCAAGGCAGCATGATATTTTTCTCTCTTATAGAGGTTTTCACTAAAACGACCACACGTTGATTTTTCGTTTAGACATTATAAGGTGTTGTAAGAGCTGTAATGTTCGCTTATAGAGGTAAATACAAAAGAGGCTCTCAGTTATAGAGGTCAGAGTGGGAAAAACGACTGTCACTTATGGAGGTTTTTGTTTCTCACTAATAGAAGTTTTTGAGAGGTCAAAGTTGGGGACCTGAGAACTATTCTCACTTATAGAATTTTCTCGCTTACCCAGTTCTCTCTTACTCAGGTTTGACTGTACATGTATTTAGGATAACTGAAGAGAGTCACAGTCAAAGAAGTAAAAAAAAGTCTGGGTTACGGAAAACCCGTTATATTAGTGAAGAAATTATGTCTTACTATTGGATTTCAGCCATTTTTATTGGGCCAAAGACTAAGTATTTTCTAATAAAGAACTTATGTAAGATTGATCCACCACCTCACGGGAAAACCAGCTCAATCGTCGCTGAAATTAAAAAAGGAGTTGTTATGTGATGTCTTCAACTAGAAATGAGGACATTTACAGCTTAAAGATGCTTTAGTTTAATTTATTCAGAACGTGAATCGAGGTAGCATTAAAGTATACCGGGGCTATACAACAGAGTTCGAAAGAAAAAAATTTGATAGCTGCAGAGGTACCTAATATGAAAGAAACGTCTTGAAAGGCGCTAAAACCAGAAACTTCTATTCGGTACAGCAAAATATCGCTTTACAAGACCTAAAAAGGTTCGAAAGATCACTCACCAGATTTAAGTTGTTCTAAATACTGAAAATTTTTAAAACTACACAAGAAGCTCCAATAATATTAAAACAAAGAAAAGGGATGAAAACAACGACACAAAATCTGCAAACCCATGGTGGATGAGTCTATGATCCACCACCAAAATCGTGATACGCGCAGAATTTTTCGTACAAACTACTTGTAAGTACACTCTACGCAAACCAAATCCAAATAAACCTCGGTTTCAAAATAAGAACATATCAAAAATGTATTTAAAGCGCGCAAAGAAGACTGGCAGGACAGAAATTGAAATTAAAAATCTGAAGACGAAAAAAAAATGAAATAAATAAAATAGCACAAGAAGAATGGAAATGTACTGTTAGACTTTCGTACTATCAGTTCGAACAAAAAGCAAAGAGACAGTCCATGAAACTTTTGTAGAATTGGACTTTGTTAATATTGTATGCGTGTGCATGTGATATAATTAACCTTCAAACTTTGTTGTCTGAAGACATAGAACAAAGTGAGGCAGAAGCAGGCGCTTGGACGGACGGACGAACCAACTACTGATAGGCGGCTATGCAAAGCGGTATAAAATTGGAAATTTTTAAATAAACTAAGAAAGTGGAGCACTACCATGCGGACGGGCGGCACTCTGATACCACACATAAAATTATAGACAAACATACACATGCACGATATGTACATGCTTTTATATAGCAGTGTCAAGAGGACAAGCGCAATAAAATGAAGCAATGATACCATTTATGCATAGAAGAGGAGGGAGCCATGTGGTAAACGAGTGCGGATACGTTCCAAATATGTAGAGCGTAAAAAAGACATATCTCATCAAATGAACTTGTAACCCCGTCGCAATAAAATTTATAATATAAAATTTGACGGTCCGACGTGAGAGATATGAAATCGCCTTTAAAACTGAAATTCTTATATAATATAATTTATCTTCTTATGATTTACGGAGGATTTCACAAAGGCCCGTCTTGCCTTAAATCTTGCTTTTTCATCAAGAAAAAAGTATCAAATTTTCTATGGATTCCCTCAACTAATATATGATATAACTATTCTCATTTGTGTTAATTAGTTCGTTGCCATGATTCTCTGTGGTCAAATCTTATCTACTATAGAATACCCAACCAATAGGTAGCTCTTTGGCTCTGCTACATTTTAACGATTCTCTAAGCACTTGCTTGAAACGGCGCCGGCTGGTTCGCATCGGTTCAGTAGACGCATATACCCCAATCTTTTTGTCTACAAGTATTTCTGTTTGCCAGCAGAAAAAGGTGTCACGAAGCTGAGACATTTTGGTTGAATGAAGAGATCATTACGAAGGACTATCTTTTTTGTGGTTCATGGATTTTTTCTAAATTATATTTTATTTATAGTTGCTGCCTTATCAAAGTGACCTCGTGTGTCTAATAGCGTATATTTACGAACAAATACAACAGCTTCTCCAGTGTAGCAAAGAGTGGAAGCTGCAGAAAATGCGTGGTACTGTGCGCCTTATCATTGACGCCACCTCCATGCTCGATTAATAGAGCATCTGTTTACACATATGAGTATAAGAGAGTATATACATATAAAATGTGAGAGTTAATGTATTGTATTGTATTTTTCGGTAAAAATATGCATAACTAAAATACCAGCCATTGTTAGCCTCCTATTTGGTGCTCACTATCATGCTGCTACTTATAAATGGTATAAATACTTTCTTCTATGCTTGTGTGGGTATTTTCTTATTATGAAGTTTAGCACTCTTGCTCAGTATGCTTTGCTCGCTGTGTTAATTGAACAAAAAATGTCTGATAAGCGTCTTAAAGAGTCTTCACATACATACTTATGTGTCTAAGTGGTGTGTTTGGGAAATTTTATTACCCAATAGGTTAAACTCAAATTGATGGTAATAAAGTAGTACGAATAGAAATTATTGCTTTTTGTTTTAAGAAAGCAATTTGAACTATATTTTGAGTGTCTTGCTTCATACGGCAATCTTCTTTGATTCAAAGGTTGAGTAATCGCTGCATATTCAGCAAAAACTGTATCCAACAATTAGCTTTGGTTCTTATCACTTATTGCGTCGTTGGCTGAACTTAACTTAAGTATACATATATATGCATAATATATGGATAATTTTAAAGTTTTCTGTTCAAAAATAAAATTTTGTGCTGTGAACATTAAATTTGATAATATTCTTTTTTAACAAGGTTCAAAATTTTTTGATAATTAAGCACCATTGCCCACAACTCTTCTTAATATTATCAAGGCAATACCATCGCTAAAATAGTATTTATTTTAAATTATACTTATAAAATAAAATTTTTTTTATTGTCTTATTTAATTCTATAACACCTGTAGAATATTGTCCTAAGTTCTCAAGTTGATACCAGTAATAATTTTAGAGATACAGCTTTGAAAAGTTGCGCGCTCGAGGTCAGCTATATGTTCGCTTAAAACTTTAAACGCGTTTTTTTTGAAACTGTGTTTTCAAAGTCGGTTATCAAGATTTCTCGAAAACTACTTAACCGATCTTGATGAAATTTTATAGATGTTTGAGATACAAGATACTCGTGCTTGGACGAAGGATTTTTTTTCAATTACAACTATTTAGAAAAAAAAATTTCAAACGAATTTGACCGAAATTTTCATTTTGTTGGAAAAAGGTCTGCCAAAGTTCCAATTTAAACATTTTTTTTTTGTTCAAGCATGAGTTTATGGTCTTAATGTGTTTTAGACATATATATATTTATTCATTTTATGAAATGACCTTACAATGGCGAAGTTTTAATTTTTTTTTTTAAATCTCTGAAATTATTCTCTAAATGTGTATCTTTAAGACAGAAAAAAATTTTAATTAAATAAATAATTTTTTATATAGAAAAAAATTTATTAAAAATAGGCCTTTTTTTATCCGACGAAACCCATGTAACCCATTAAGGGAGGTTAAATTAAAGGTCAAGCTAGCGGTCACCACTAAAAAACAATGTGATTACTGTAATAATATTCGCTGTTGTTCGAAGGAGTTTTCTGCATTTCTAGTGATTATTTTATCGATGTCTTCGAGATATTTGTTATAGTAAGTAGTCGTAAAGCCATATTAATAAACGCTTTAGGTGTAATCCTACTGAAGTTCACCAAGCCTTAGGTCGTAACCTTCTCTCTACCGTCGACCACTTTCACAAATTTTAAAATAGCCATTACATATACCCTAGGCTTGCTGCTGGGGGTTTCTTCGATGAGATTTGCCGTGGTTATTACCTTGTGATTCTAAATACATACTATGTTTTTATTCCTTTTTTATCGTTCCTGGGTTTCCAGAGCTTATATAGGTCCAGTTTTTTGCAGTTTTTTTGGCTTTTTAAATAATTGGTAGACATTATCAACATTAATATTGATTGTGAATAGAATATTAATTTTGTGTTTTTTTTTTCTATTTCTTTCAGGTGTTTCCTTTCCAGTGAATCCCATAATAAGAGTTATTAGTTAACATAAAATATGTTCGGTTATCGGTAATCGTAGTTCGAGTGCGTGTAATATCCCGTAAAAAGTTCGCTAATATGCGTTCGATAACAAATTAAATACGTTCGGTGAATGCTGCAATATAATCGGAATTTATATCTCGTGAGAGTTCGGTTGACGTCGTTAGAGATAATATAAAATGTGTTCGGTTATAGGTGTTTGTTTTACGGGTCGCTTAAAAAATCGTTAGCATGCATTCGGTAAATACTTAAATTTGTTTAAATCTAATCGGTACTTATATAATGTCAGTGTTCGGTTGTCGCCGTAATGTGTTCGGTAGAATAGTGTAATTTGCTTTGAAATGAATTGTGGACTGTGTACCTTCGCAAATTATTCGGTGAGTTGTTTTGAGAATTTAGTAAAATTAAGAAATATTTTTATTTAAACTATTTCCCAGCATGTTTTTACGAGTATTCTTTCCCTGAATATTTGTATTAACATTCAGTATAGAATTAAATAACTACTGTTAATAATACCATATATATAATATAATCTACAAATTGAATCTACAATTAATACCTCTTGCTATATATCAGTCCCTTGTTGTAGTACCGCCAGACCGCTTTTTCACTCCAAACCTATTATATTTTATTATTATTTTCTATAATACAATAACAACAGTTTACATTCCTATTCAAATTTCACCATACTTTCCACATGACACAAAGGGGATTTCTGTCGACCAAGATCATTAATTGTTATTCTTAAATTATTATATTTATATCTTTAATTTCTTAAGTATGCAAATTAACCACTTACCGACGTACGAGTAATAATTGTTATAGTTTTTATTTTAGCTTTTGGAAGTTTCCTTTGTGTCACCAAGCTATTATTATTTATAATTTTAAATCGAACCTAGAAGTTCAACTTTTTATAGAAAAGTAGGTTATTTTAAAGTCAATGATTTTTATTTAGCTGAATGCATGTAGTATGGAGGTTGATTTGTTTTGAACTAGTCCCACAAATAGAAGTATGGTTTTTCATAATTATAGTCAACGGAGATTATATATTTTTCCTCTTCCACTTTCTTCTATAGAAGTTCCGTTCTAAGCTTACTTGTCAGCTTATTCAGACCGGTTAGTATTTTCTACATTCCAAGCATTCTGCTTTATGCTAAGTCCGTTTATTCGTGTTTGCCAAAGTTTCATCGGTCTATATGCTAAATTATTCAATTGGAAGCACTTGCTCAAATGTTTCCGCTACTTTTTCAAAATTTTTGATACATCTATTCGCAAGAACTCTATTTATGGATGAAAACAGTTTTATTATACTCTGAGCAAGTTTGTTACGAAGTTTGCAACATGCATAAGGAAACGTTGGAGACCCTATAAAGTGCATATAGAAATGATCAGCGTGACGAGCATAATCGATTTTGCCATATCCGGCTATACGTCTGTCTGTATATAAGCGAATTAGTCTCTCAGTTTTTGAGACATCGATCTGAAATTTTGTAAACATGCCCTTCTCACCAAAAAGCTACTCATGTGTCGAAACCGCCGATATCGGACCACAATAGCATATAGCTGCCATACAAACTGTTTGATGAAAATCAAGCGCTTGTACGGGAAACTATTTTATTTGAAAAGATATCTTCACGAAATTTAGCATGGATTATTGTCCAAGGCAACGGCACAATCTTCGAAAAAATATATTTTAGATCGTATGAGTATGACATATAGCTGGCATACGAGGCTCCATACAAGAGTATGGAGTTTTTTTTTATTTGTAAGGGATATTATAGTTTCGGTGCAATCGTATTCAAATCTAATAACCAACGCTATCTTTTCCGGACATAATCGTTAAAATTGTTAAACTTTTTTATCTAACTTTTTGATTACTTAATTTACAATGTTTTTTATCTGCTTTCTAGGGAACACTCTAGCCTTTGTTAGAATAATCTCCAGCATTAATCTCTATCTCATAATTAATCTTTGTAAAGGAACTGAACTGTTGCAACTACACTTCGCATGAGATAACCCTGTGTTTAAATAGAAGGCTAACATATCTCTCTTTGAGCTTAAACATATTTAAATGATAATATGTAAATAAGTCTAATACTATAAACTGCAGAATAACGAATTTAATTGCTCTGTACCAGGCGGTGCAACGATTTCCCACCATTAACCGACTGACACACTAGAACACCGCTTTGGTATATTCGCACATACACGAGCATATATACGAACATATAATGTGTAAAATAGTAAGGTGAGCCGAGTAGCAGCGAGTATGATAAGTAAGGGCGTTGGAAAAACGCTTAGTCACGTAGTGTAACCAGCTAAAAGCTCGATAGCTAAAGCAAATAAGAATTGTGGCGAATAAAATCTAAAGTTAATGAGCTATCTGAAGACACAAGCTCAAATACATATTTAATTGTGAAACAATAACATATTATCATTTTTAAATCATTAATTATTACCCGTTTTCCAATAATTTTGAATGATTAACACTGAGTTCAGTTAAATTTATTATTATATTATAATAAAAATTGATGTAACTTATAAATAATATTACAATTATGATAAAAGCGTTCGCACATCTCAACGAGGTTAAATGCATCTATATAACTTCTCATTGCAATGTGTAAATTGACTTGTTAATATGTAAATTTGTACTACACGTGTCTAACTCATTACTATTTGATATGTTGAATGTGCAAGTATTTAAAGCAAATATTTACACTGATTCTTTCACATTCTTTCGACAAGGTATGCAACTCTGCGTTCAAAAATTTGAAATCCTAAAGAATTCAAAATTATTTCGTTTTAGAGTTATTTAGGATATTTAGCAAATTTAAGTTGATGCATGTAGCAGATACAATTCACTAAGGGTGGGGTCGTAGTGGAACAAAGAGCGGGGCAGTAGACAAGCGAATCAGTTCATAACAAGAAAAAATGTTTACTTCGTGCGCACCGAAGCTATAATACCATTTACAAATACAAAAATTTCTTACAAGAACTTGATTCAGATCTAATTTCGTGAAGATACCTCGTCATATAAAAAAGTTTTCCACACAAGCACTTGATTCCGATTGTTCAGTTTGTATGGCAGCTATATGCTATAGTCATTCAATCTGTACAATTTCTTCCGAGAATGCATTATTGCTTTAAATAATAATTCGTGCCAAATTTCGTGAAGATACCTCGTCAAATGAAAGAATTTTCCATACAAGCACTTGATTCCGGTTGATCAGTTTGTATTGCAGCTATATGCTATAGTGGTCCGATATCGGCCGTTCTTACAAATCAGCTGCTTCTTAGTTAGGAAAGGACAGGTGAAAAATTTCAGATCGATAGACGGACATGGCTAAATCAACTCAGCTCATCATGCTGATCATTTATGTATATATTTTATAGTGTCTCCAATGTTTCATTCTGGGTGTTATAAACTTCGTGGCAAATTTAATATTCCCTATTGAGGGTATGGAAGTCTTGCGATATACTTATGTAATGTCTGTTAAAAAGAAATCGGTTATTTTTGCGTTAAACTGAAAGGTTTACTATGTCAAATATGCATGTATGATTTGTTCGATAACTTGGTGCCATTTTGTAGGTAATTTCATAATGCCACCCTCATGATTTTTAAAAGATTTTCTTGAGTCGAATTTTTCACCAGAAAAATCATTAGCTATAGACATAAAGGGATAGTAATCAGGTCAGGTTAATGTCAGGTCCGGACAATAATAATATGGATGGATAAGAACCTCCCAACTAAGCTGCTGGAGTGTCTGGCGAGTCACGTTCGATGTGTATGGCCTGGCACTTTTCTAATTGAAAACACAATTCCTCTCCTATTGGCTATAGCTGACCGCTTCTAGGCAATTGCTTGCTTTGGACGATCCAATCGTTGACAGTACCGGTCCGTAGAGTAGAGCCATTTTAACCTCGCGATGGATTGTTACAAATAATGATGAGTCGATGTATCATGAAAAATCATAATAATGGTAATTCGTCACCTTTGCATTTGGCTGGGGTTCTCTTTTTCATCAGTGAAAGTTTTTTGTGAGCTGAACACTTGCTGAGAAGGTTTAGGGCGAATGGAAAAGATCTGTGATCTTCGAGTTAGTGTTTAGTTATGGGTACTATGGATGGAGTATGATGGGCCTAGCCTAGCGGTGAAGCCTCGCGTTTATATATGTTGATTGATTGAAAAGGAGGCGCCATCCATTTAAACGGGTTAGTTAGTGACGAGAGACATGATATAAAAAAACGGCGCAGAAATAAGATCATTTTCGATCAGCTCTGAGCTAAAGCACGGTAAGATCGTTGATCTCAAAAGTGGGAACAAAAACCAATGGCTTTAATATGTTTGGTAGTGCGATAAGGAATAAGGATAAAAATCGATAGTTAAAGACTTCCAAAGCATTTCGGAAGTGGATATATTTATTATTATATTATCTATATTACCTGGCAACATAGTCTGTAAATCGTAATGTCATCATAGATTTGTTAAAACTGAATCTATCCTATATTTTTAAAAATCAGAACATTATTTGCTTAAACCAACCTCACACTCAGTTTAAGCGAGCCGTAAGTGTTCTAAGCTCAACTCCGGTGGTAAAAAATAAATCGTCATTGCGCAACAAGCTAACAAAAATTATACGGTTTTCAATTGCAAAATGATATATTATATGATGCGAGGGGCGGAAGGCAGGAGGAAGCGGTAGCTCATCGCGTTCAGTCAATCGTCAATGCAGCTGTGCCGACGTTCGGTCACACGCTGTGATTTAGCTTTGGTTTCGCTTGTAGCCAAGTTAGCGCGCTCAAATTGCCATTAAAGCCATACATTTTCGTCACACCCCCGCCCCCGCATGCTCCGAAGCACATCCACGAGTGACGAGCGACGAACGACGGTGCAGCTGAGTTCTTTAGCCATGCCAACGTTCGTGCCTTTGACGTTATTTGCAAATCGTTTTGCATGACGATGTCAAATGAAAAGTCCAAAGTCGTTGCCGTTGCCGTTGCCACTGCCATTATTATTGGTGTTGTTCTTGTTATTGTCGTTGCCGCTGCCGTTGCAGCAGCTTCAAGCCACATATTGCGCGCTCTAACGCCGGAGCTCAGCTCAATCGCTTAGTTAATTAACCATTCAAGTAGTCGCTGTGCTTCGGTGTATGCGGCTTCGTATGTGTGATTATTTAAGTATTTTACGAGTGTGGTTGTTGCTTGTTGTTGTTGTTACTGCCACTTTTTTGCCTGATATTTACTTACTTATTTACATAAAAAAATTTCAACGTGCTTTTCTGTTTTCGATTTTTTTTCTTCGTTTGTTTTTGTGTTGAGGTGTTTGCTGTTGTTGGTGGTGTTGTAGTTGCGGTTGACTGCGGTAAAAAATTAT